CGCGACAGGCCGCAAGTCTGGGGACGTCAGCCGACCACCTCGCCTCGCTCTTGCGAGCCGACGCATCGACGCTAAGTCAGCACCTCCTCACCGGCGACTGGTCGCTAGCGCACGCTAACGCACTCTGAACATGGAACTGCGAAAACAAGTGGTTGGCGTGCAACATCGATATTCGACACGCACGCGATCCTTGTGAGGCGACCCCCCGCGCTGGCCGGGCCCGACACGGGCCTGGCCAGGATCGGCGAGGTGGTCAGCCGTCATCCCGAGAAAAGTATATGCTAAACCCCACGGGGTGGGCGTGGGTCTTGGCCGCAGGCTTGGTATACAAAGAGTTCCCTCCGCTGGGCGATTTTTTTTTGTACTGAACGTGGCACTGCAACCGACGTCCTGGAGGGGAGGCGCAAATGCAGGGAGGCTGCCCGCCTCGGCCTCACCCGGGCAAAGCTGGCAGCACCGCGGAGCCGCCGCTGGGGAAGCGACAGGGTTCGACGGAGGAAGGGCGGCGCAGTGAGGACTCGAGTCTCGAGCTCGTGTTTACCGGCAGAGGAAAGCGGACGCGGACGACGAGCCACAGTGAGAATGATGATAAGGAGGAGGTAAGGAGGAGGAGAAGGAGGAGGAGGAGGCGGAGGAGGACGGTTCGGAGTAGTGGGTGTGGGTGAGCACGGAATTGAGAGAAGCGGTCACACAGGACGATGAGAAAGGACATAATGGGCGCGAGGAGTGGGAAGGTTGCGGCGGACGAACGAGGAGGGGGAAGAGTTGGCGGAGGAGGATGAAGAGGAGACCGAAGCTTATGATGATGCTGCTGCTGCTGATGCTGATGCTGCTGATGATGATGACGATGATTATGAAGATGCGGATGCGGATGCTGGTGTTGATGTTGCTGATGACAACGGTTGTTGTGATGATGACGACGATGACGATGGTGACGACGATGATTACGATAACGATGACGATGGCGATGATGACGACGATGACGATGATGAGGATGATGACGATGATCACGATGATGAAGATGATGACGACGATGACGATGCTGATGATGATGACAATGGTAATGACGACGATAACGCTGACAATGACGATACTGGTAATGATGATGATGATGATGATGATGATGATGATGATGATGTTGATGATGATGCTGATGCTCATGATGATGATGCTGATGTTGTGGTTGATGATGGTGCTGATGATGTTGTGGTTGATGATGATGGTGTTGATGTTTGTGGTGATGCTGGTGATGATGATGATGATAACGACGATGACGATTATGGTGTTCATGATGGTGACAATGCTGATGATGATGATGATGATGATGATGATGATGATGATGATGATGATGATGATGCTGATCATGATGATGCTGATGATGATGATGCTGATGCTGCTGTTGATGATGGTGATGATGATGGTGATGATGCTGCTGATGCTGATGATGATGACGATAGTGACAATGACGACCTCGATGATGAGGTGCGAACATGGAGAAGACAAACCAAACTCTCCTCTGCCCCCCCCCCCCTCGCTGAGCCGCCGGCCTTGATCAGCCTGCCGCAGCCACTCTCGGCCACTCCGAGCTCCTCGAGGTACTCGGCCTTCTCGGCCTGGCCCCGGCCGCAGGCGGGCTCCGTGCGAGGGCAGGAAGAGCCCAAGTTTAGGTCGGGCATGACCCCTACAGGCGGATTTTCATGGAAAAGCTGGAAATCGTTAAATAATTAAACAGACCCCCAAATGAACCAAAATAGTAGAAACATCTTCCCCTGACTATCTTTTGATTATTTCTGAATTTCCCTCGTGTAGAGGGACGTGCCCGACTTTAGGCCCAGGGCGGAGGAGGAGCCTCGACGCCCTCGCGTCGTGAAGCAACTTCGACGGACAACGTTCGGCAGCCTGCGGGCTCCGCGGGGGCCACTCGCCGGGGCCCCGGGGCGCTCGCCGAAACGACTCGGGACGAGGGGCCGCTCCCAGGGCGGGGGCCCGGACCTCCTGTCGGTGATCCTCGGAACGTGCGTTAGCGCCAAGGTGCGTTTGCCCACCGAGGCCCTTCAGATCGACTGGTTGGGTAAAACGGTTGGCCTCCGGGAGGCCTCCTGAGAGATCCGGTGGAGGACCAGGTCGTTCGCTGCCCTCGCCACGTGCCGAAGAGCGAGAGCATGCATAACACACAACTGCTGGGAGGCCCGCTCCGACTTCTTGGATCGGCGCTGGACCCCCCGTGCCCGGCGCGCGGAGCGCGCCACAGGGGCGGCGCCGGTCCGCCGGGGGTACAGCCGGACTTGACTGGACAGGACACGCGAGAGTGCACAAGACCCTTCCGAGGGCCACACTGCCACAGGAATGTAGGAGGCATGGGTCGCGAGGCACAGGACACAAGGGTGCTCTTGATTTGGCAGGGTCGACCTACAAATCTGGGCCGACTGTAAACACACGTTGGGCTAACACACGTCCTGATGAGCATCGATCCAGGGGGGGGGCCACGTGGCGACGCACATCCTCACCATCTCGGGCGTACGCCCAGACGTACGGCGTCGCACCTGTCTCGCCACGTCGGCGCAGCACGAGATCGTCTGGAACCGCAGCGCGGGTTCAGGATCTCGATGGGTCCGCAAGCGTAAGGAAAACTAAGAAATCAGTGCGGGCATCTTTTATTGGACCGCCCTGCGGTGCAAGAACACTGCTGCCCCAACCAATCATCCATGAGGAGGGGGGGGGAGGAAAGGGAGACCACGAGGACACAGATGAGACCGGGCAGTTCCGCTGAAACACCAGAATCAAGGTGAAACGAAATGCGACACCTCCAATGTCGAACCATTGGAAAGAGGAAGATGAAGGAGGAGGAGGAGGAGGAGGAGGAGGAGGAGGAGGAGGAGAAGGGGTAACAGCGGAAAAGGGGCAATAGCACTGTATGTGCATCTCCCACGATCCATCGGGCCAATAACATGATCAGGCCAGCTACAGCAACAATCACATCGAGAAAGGGATGTACAGAACAATCTAAGGTCCAGGCTGCGTCGCAAGTGATAGTAGCATGTCGAAATTCCTATCACGCCGAAGGCGGAAATCACATACTAAGTATATATGAGGAAGATGAGGGAGGAGGATGAGGAGGGAATGACGTACAGTTATGAACATATATATACCCACCAGTCGGAAGAAGTAGGTAGAAACATGAAGTAGGAAGGCGGAAGAAGTAGATTGCATTCGGGGCCGCCCAAAAAAACAACAGCAACAACAATTACAAGAAGTAGATTGCAAATTTCCGGGCCCTGTCTCAGCGGCGCGCAGTAGCGCTAGGTCGCTTGGCTCCTCGGATGGCCCCATTCCTTGGCTGGTTTCGGTTGTTCTGGCTTGTTTTCGTTTGTCCGTCGATCGCAGTGGCAGCCTTTCGGTCGCTCGGCCCTTCGGCTGGCCAAATGCGTTGGTTTTGTTTGTTTCTGTTTGTTTTCGCTTGTCCGTCGGCTGCACTGGTCGCCCCAGGCCCGCCCGCGGCCTTTCGGTCGCTCGGCCCCTCGGCTGGCCAAATGCATTGGTTTTGTTTGTTTTTGTTTGTTTTCGCTTGTCCGTCGGCTGCACTGGCCGCCCCAGGCCCGCCCGCAGCCGTTCGGTCGCTCGGCCCCTCGGCTGGCCGAATTCACTGGTTTTGTTTGATTCTGTTTGTTTTCGCTTGTCCGTCGGCTGCACTGGTCGCCCTGCGCACGCCCGCCGCCCCGCGGTCGCTCGGCCCCTCGGCTGGCCCCATTCCTTGGTTTTGTTTGTTTTTGTTTGTGTTCGCTTGTCCGTCGGCTGCACTGGTCGCCCCAGGCCCGCCCGCCGCCCCGCGGTCGCTCGGCCCCTCGGCTGGCCCCATTCCTTGGCGTTCTTTGTTCCTGTTTGTTTTCGCTTGTCCGTCGGCTGCACTGGTCGTCTCAGGCCCGCCCGCCGCCGTTCGGTCGCTCGGCCCCTCAGCTGGCCCAATTCCCTGATGTTGTTTGTTTTTGTTTGTTTTCGCTTGTCCGTCGGCTGCACTGGACGCCCCAGGCTC